ATATCGAAAACCTCTCCAAAATAAAAAAAAAAAAAAAAGATAGGCACTTCTCAGGCTAGCAGGTGGCATGGTAGCTAAGGTGCTGGATCCTCACATGGCTGACTCAGCAGTTTGAGTCCTGGACCTGGAGGCTTGAAAAACACACCAGTGGCATATATACATGCATGCCCAAAACCCCAGAAGGAGAACAGAAGAGAATGGATCATGGTGTGGCCATCTCCTCTGGAGAGGGGTTGTGATTTCTCATTTCCCCTCTCTATCTGTCTGTCTCTGTTTCTCTCCAGCAAGTGCATATGCGTTATGGCAAAAAAAAAATCAAGGGACCAGCAGTTGGCGTAATGCCTATGTCGCTGGACTCCCACGTAGTCGACCGCGGTTCGTGTCCTGGACCCAGTGGCTTAAAACTCACACCGGGCGCGTGTGCGTGCGTGCCCAAGATCCCGAGAGGAGAATAGAGGAGAGGGGATTGCGGTGTGGCCATCCCCCCTGGGGGGTGATTTCTCGCTTTCTGTCTCTCTGTCTGGCGAGCATACGCACCCTATGGCAAAAACCTCTCCACACACACACACAAAAAGATAGGCACTTTTCATACATCAAATAATCTGTCCTAAATGAGGCAGCACATTTACTGAGCACCCTTGAAGTGTACAGTCTCACTGTAACTACTGTAGTTACAATAGACTAGGAAGGCACAGTGTTTGTCCTAGACAAGAAAAGGGAACGGAGCACTATCCCAAGTAGGGAACGTCACTCTAATAAAATAAAGCCCCTGCCTCATAAAGAGGCCCTTTGAGTACTTCAGTAAATACTCGCCTAGGATGGAGTCCAAGATAACTAAATTATAATAGTCTGGAGCAAAGGCATTGTGGTGAGATTGTAGTCATCACAAAAGACCTTGGTGGCCACATAAACACAGATACAATGAACTGCAGCCACATAAAGACCCAACTGCTTAGGAGAGGAGGAACTGAGGAAAGAAGAATGATGAGTGGAGAGCCTGGCTGCATGAAGTGCCCAGAGACCTGGTCCCCCTTGGAAAAGATCTGTGGAAACCAAGTCTCAAGCAGAGTATGGAGGAATGGAGTCGCTGATGGTTACCAGATGGCCCTAACAGTCTCATGCAGGGTCAGGGAACGAAATGCCATGTTTAAGATACGTGCCTGCCCTTCTGGCCATTGATTACTTTTCTCAAATACCTTCGCTTCATCTTTGTTTCTAAGTTTTCTGGTTTTCTCATCACCTGCCTCCTCCTTTTCTCTGGGACCCCTGAGTGAATGTTCCTCTGCTCTAAGCTTCAGAAGGAAGACTGTTGTTGTTGTTATTTTAAGTTTGTTTCTTCCGTGAACAAGAGAGACAGTATCCTGTACAGGATGCTGTAATCTACCCTCATCCTCAGCCAGCCCTTGATCACAAACACACATGGCCAGGAATACTCAGGGAGGCCTCCAAATGTGAACCAGGAAGCCTCCCATGTGGGCTGGCCTCACAGCACCACATTTGCATTTACCACTGCACCACCATCTGGCCACAGAACCAGGAGTATTACTGCTGCACAAAAATATCTTTTCTTTTTAAAGGATTTAATTGTATTTTATTGTCGTTGTTATGTTACAGGGCACGTGCACTAGCCAGAGAGAGAGAAAGTGAGAAAACAAGCCACCAGGTCCAGGACTTGAACCACAGTTAGCCATGTGGAAGTCCAGTGCCTTAACCACCATGCCATCTGCTGCCCCTGCCCCCCCCCCAATTTCTTTCTACTAGCAGGTTTACATTGGTTTATGTTCCTAGAATTAAAAAAAAAATTCCCTTTATTCATTATAGAGCACATGCACATGCCACGGGGTCTGGTTGTGCTGCAATCCTTCCTCTAATTCCCCATCCTGTCATGGTCCTGGGTATGTGTGTGAGCCTGGCTACAAAGCGGTCAGAATGTGAAACCTAGTCAGCCACTTGGGATCCAGTTTCCTCTGCATAGCACTTAAATGACACAACTGGCCTCCTTGAATTCTATTAAACTCCCAACTTGCTTAATCCTCTGTCAAAGCTTTTGCCCACCCTGACAGGTACATCCTTGTCTAAAATGCTATTTTTCAGAAGGCCTCCCTGGCAAGCAGGAAGAAATGAAGCAAATTCCCATTGCCTTTACCATTTCAATATACTGTTATGATCTGTTAACAGTAATGATCTGTTTTTCTTTTTTTAAAGTTTATTTAATTTTATTTATTCACTCATTTTTTTTTTTTTTGGAGAGGTTTTTGCTATAGGGCGCATGCGCTCGCCAGACAGACAGAGAGACAGAAAGTGAGAAATCACCCGCCAGGGGGGATGGTCACGCCGCAATCCCTTCTCCTCCATTCTGCTCTCAGGATCTTGGGCACGCGCACACACGCGCCCGGCATGAGTTTCAAGCCACTGGGTCCGGGACGTGAACCGCGGTCGACTACGTGAGAGTCCAGTGACATTGCCATGATGCTAGCTGCTGGTCTGCTTCACTCATTTAATTTGACAAGAGAGAGAGAGAGAGAGAGAGAGAGAGAGAAAGAGAGAAAGAGAGAAAGAGAGAAAGAGAGAAAGCAAGCCACCACGTCTGGGAGTCAAATGTGGTTGGCCACGTGGGAGTGTCCAGCACCCTAACTACCATGCCACCTGCTGGTGCCCCAGTCATGATCTTTTAATTCATATAATTGTGTGTTTACTTTTTCCTGTTTTAAACACATTTCCTTCACAAGGGCTCTAAGACTGATTAGGAAAGAATAAGGTCTAACATAATCTTTGCTAAATCTGGCAGTGCCACTATAAAGGCACTAATAGTCTTTGTCAAATTAACTGGCAAGCGCTTTCAGGGAAGGAGGGAACAGGAAGGCACTGGTAGAGGGAAAAGTGCTGGCTCTACTTCCACTCTACCCTTACTAGCTGTATGGTGCAGGCAAGCTACAGAACCCCTTGAACTGGACCTCCACATCGGTAAAAAGACAAGTTAACCTCTACCTTTAAGGATTGTGGAGAAGACTGAATAAATGTACGTGGAAAACCTCACACAGTACTTGCAGCAGACACTAAGTAAATCACAATTTCCATTTTTGTCTTCCCACAGTATTGCTTCTTCTGCAAATAATTATTGTTTGGCTTTGTGTGTTCTTATCGAACTTGAGACCAGGATTTCTCATTATAGCAGCACAGACATTTTGGGCTAGATGGTTCTCTGGGTGTTGTCCTGTGCACTGTTAGATGTTTAGCAGCATCCCTGGCCTCTACCCACCAGATGCCAGTAGTACTAGCTGTGAAAACCAAAACCGTCTCTAGACATTGCCAAATGTTTCCTGGGGGACAAAACTGTCCCCAGTTGAAAACTACTACTTTAGACTGAAAGTCCTCAACTCTGACTAAAATGATGTAGTATTACCTTAGACTTTGAAAAGGAGGGCACTTGTTTTCAGCAGAGACATGACTTCCTTCCCCCCATACAATATTATTTGGGTGTTGACTATACCAGCTGGAGCCAGTCAAAATTATATACATGCACAAAACTTTATGCCTTACAAATAATGGAGAGAATATCAAAAGTCTTTTCATTTAAAGGCTTTGGAGATAGGTAAGTCTCAAAAATAAAATGTGGTGAGCCAGCCCATGGCATGGTGGTGAAGGTGGCTGGATCCTACATAACCAACAATGTGGCTTGGAAAACACACTGGGGGCATGTGCACATGTGTCCAAAATCCTGAGAGGAGAAATAGCAAAGAAGGGACTGTGTTATGGCTATCCCTATCCTCAGGGGAGTGCTTTCTTAATCCCTCTCTTCAGTGAGTACACACACTCTGTAGCAAATTAAAAATAATTTCAATTTGTGCTTATTTTTCCTGTTTTAAATACATTTCCTTCACAAGGGCTCTAAAAAAAAAGAATATAGAGTATGGTAATGTCTCATGTAAGATCATATCAATGTAATCTTACATTTTGCTTTTAGGTCTGACAGCGAGTAACAGAAGGGCTACCAGACTAAGTATTTATGGAGAAGCTTTGGACACCCACTTGTCCATCATTTCACAAACTCCAATTGAAAAAATAGAATCTCTAACCTCAACTATTCCTGTTGTAAAACAAAATGAAAACCAAGCAAAACCAAAACCAATTCCTTTTGTCTTTCTTCTGTGTATGTAGTAAAAACAGTGTCAATTTAAGCTCTCATAAAGAAAATGCAAATGGTAGTCATTAGTGTTTGACACTTGATGGATACTCTCAAAAGTTACGGGCAATGCTTTTTTTTTTTTTCAGCATAGGAATAGATGAAATACATCATCCAAATCCATCCTTCCTTTCTTTTTCTAAATTTGCCGAAGGGCACATGTGCTCATCAGAGAGCTAGAGAGAGGGAAAGGGAGAAAGCACCCCCGATGGGCACGGTCACACCACAATCCCCTCTCCATTTCTCCCTCCTTTCAGGATTTTGGGTAGTGCCAGGTTCTGTACTCTAACCATGTGGATGGCCATGTGGGCAGTATTGGACATTTGTTTTTTTCTGACAAATGTTCCATATTCCATTCATAGCTAAATTCTTCAAATATACCAGGCATCTTCAAAAAAAATTCCATGGAAAATGTGTGTTTTGAAAAAACTTGTCTTTCTGAGGCAGATATAGTCACAGGTACTACAGAGCTCTGGTCAGCTCACTCCTGCTCCTGTTCACTTTCACAGAGGACAAGTCAGTCACGGGCTGCTCTGCAGTCATGGCTTTTATTTTTATTTATTTTTTTGGAGAAATGTTTGCTATAGGGCATGTGCACTCCCCAGAAAGAGACAGAGAGACAGAAAGTGAGAAACTCCCACCCTCCCCAGGGTAGATGGCCCACCACAATCCTTTCTCTTCCATTCTCCTCTTGGGATCCAGGGCACGCATACACATGTGTCCAGCATGAGCTTAAGTCACCAGGTCTGGGACTCAAACTGCGGTTGACTACATGGGAGTCCAGCCAACTGCTGGTCCCAAGTCAATTATTTTAATAAACTGCTTATCAGTTGTTATATGGAAAAAAAATTAACTACACACAAATTTAATAATTTTTTTGCATTGAAACAGCTTTTACTTTAATCCAAATGTCCTTGAACTTTTTGAAGTTCCCGTGTACCTCTTACTTCCATTTCTTTATCAACTATCTCTTTGATTTGTCCAACTAGATTCCTTGTCTGCTACTCTATTGAAATTGCTGTTTGAAAGCCAAAAAGAGAGCCCTCTTCTATGACAAATCCAATAGCCCCTTCATTAGGCTCTTCTTTTTTTTGAATTTTCTGCTCTCTCTGACAACAATTACTCTTTTCCACTGGATATTTTTCAGCTTTAGTTAAAGGATATGCTGGCTGGCCAACGCTAGGCCAGACTCTTAGGAAAAAACCCATATCACTTCTTTTGCATATCACTCATCCTTTCTTGCCTCCAGCAGTTCACAAAGGAAGGCCATGTCCTGAAAGACCTTTTCACTCTCAGCCAGATTCCATCCTTTCATAAGTCTGTTCAAGACACAACCCCTTTATGAAAACTTCCAACTGGATTTGCTGTTTCCGGTAACCGAATCTCCCCGTATCCTGTACTTCCTCACATAGATGGCTAACTTGCATTTATCGGTGTGTATATACGTATCTCATCAGAACCTAAGTTTCTGGGGAAAAGGACTGTATTTTCTATTTCTCCAGAACCCCTACAGGGCTTGACATTTAATCAGACTACTTTTCCAGAGGTAAGATTTATGAGAGGGGCTGTGCTATTTAAGGACACTGGACTCCCACACTGCTGATCAGGGTTGGAGTCCCGGATCTGGCGCCTTGCTTTCTCACTTTCTCTTTCTCTCTGGATCTGTCCTCTGGTCAAATAAATTATATTAAATTAAATAATTAAAAAAAATTTTTTTTATGAAAATCTTGGGACTGCCAGATGGTGTAACGGTTACATTGCTGGACTCCCAGGTAGTCAACTGTGGCTCAAGACCCCGACATGGGGGCCTAAAACTCAAGCTGGGCGCATGTGCCTGCCTGCCCAAAATACCAGAAGCATAGAGAAGGGGTTGCAGCGGCTATCATCCCTGGGGGAGGGGAGGAGCAACTTCTCGGCCCTATGGGTGAACCTCGGCTTTCTGTCTCTGTCTCTACGGTGAACGTAAGCATGCTATAACAAAAACCTATCAAAATAAATAAATAAATAAATAGAAAAGATTAGTGAGAATCTTCACCACCACTCAGCATCTGCAGCTGTTTCCGCTGCTGGGTTTTTCCATCTCGGCCTCCACATCACAGGGAGACTAGCGGCCTGGGAAGGACAAGTCGCCCTCAAATCAGCATTTTCAGAAGAGAAATTGGAAAAGGAGGCTCTCGAAATGTCTTTCTCTTATAGCTCAGAGACGCCTTAATGAAGGAGGCGGCGGTTCAGAGACTACGGAAGCGAGAATTAACACGCAGACCCTAACCGAAAGCTTTTCTGAACCCTGGGACAAGTTTCTTCTCTGCGCCTCCTCTGCTACGTAGGCAAGCCCTCGTCTCAGTCCTCTGCCACTTCGTGAGGACACTCACAAGCGGCGGGAGGGGTATTAATCACCCCCGGGGCACCTGCACCTCCGACGTTTCAGAATCGCGCGAAGGAAAAGGAGGGAGAGGAACACCAGGGAAGGCGAAATCAATCGCCACTGTTTTTTTCCTCAATTTCGGGAAGTCGCTGGGACCCGGGACTCACCTTCCCTGAACCCGCGAGCTGAAAGCCGAAGCCAGCCGGGCGCGGCCGGGCGCGCCAGGAGCCCTCGGAGCAGCCGCCCACAGCCTGACACCAGCTCTTTGAGGGCCGCCATCTTGACAACCAACTCTGACCTCTGGCGCACTTCCGCTTCCGGAATGACGCGCGCGCAGCCGCAGTAGGACAAGAACCGAGCAGCCCGCGGGCTTCTCGCTCAATTTACTGCCGTCACTTCCATCTCCCTCACTTGTCCGGCTTTGGGCTGGCGGGACGGGCTTTTGAGGGTAGGTGTCCCAGCTCCTGTCTGCCAGTGCCCGCAGTCTCCAAAGTGACTTTCGGTCCCTGGAATACTTCCGTCGTAAATCACACGCACCACCTCCTTCTCACGGCTTTCGCCTCCCTGGGAGGCAGCCACGGACTCCAGCCTCAGTGCGGTGGCCCGCTGGTAGAGGGAGGTCGAGGTGGGTAGGGGCTCTCTGGAGTGTCAGGCGAAAGGTAGACCCGGGATGGAATTAATACCCTCTGGGCCAGCCAGGAGCATGGGTGTTAAGGCGGCTGGATCCTACAGCATCGACCGTGCAGTTCGAGTCCCAGACCCAGCGGCTTGAGAATAAACCACGCTGGGCACGTTTGCGTGTGTGCCCAAAATCTCCAGAGGAGAGTGCCGTGTGCTCTCTCAGTCTCTTAAAAGCCCACGCACACTATACCACAAGTCGAAAGAGTGAATACATCTTCTCTGACTTTCACCACCATGCCTTTATTATTTGATTTTCAGACTTCTCTTAAGCCCTGGGATCTTTTTATTTGATTATTATGATTTTATTTAACTTTATTTATTTTAAGTTGACCAGCTAGGGGGAGAGAGAGAGATGGAAAGTGAGAAAGTGAGCCGCCAGGTCCAGGACTTGAACCATAGCCATGTGGGAACCCAGAGCCTTTAACCAGCATGCCACCTGCCAGCCTCAATCCCCGGGATCTTTACACAGCCTTTTCCTCTGCCTGATCTTCAGCTATCTGATTAACTCCTACTTCTTTTTTTCTCTTCTTTATTTTTTTAGAAAGATTTCTGCAATAGGGCATGAACACTCACGGGAGACACAGAGAGTGAAAAAACCACCCTCGAGTGTGTGTGTGTGGGGAGATGGCCACGCTGCTGTCTCTTCTCCCTCATTCTCTTCTCACTTTGGGCACACGTGTCCTGCAAGTTTCAAGTTGCTGGGTCCAGAGCTCCAACCGCAGGTGACCATGTGAGTGTCTGGCACCACAACAGCTACACCTCCTACTGGCCCCAACTCCTATTTATTTCTTAGAGTTCTCCTTAGACTTCATTTCCATAGTGAACTCTTCTTGACTTCCTGGTTACTGGTTCTCAGGATCAGAGATGGGCATATCTAGCACAATTACAGTTTTACATGTTTGTATATGTATCCACCCGTTAGACCATAAGCTCTGTGAGGTAAGAACTTTTTTTTTAGAATTATTTTTATTTATCTTTGTTTATTTCAATTTGACCAGAGAGGGACAGAGTGAAAGAAAGAGGAGAGAAAGTGAGAAAGCAAGCCCCCAGGTCTGGGATTCAAACTGAGGTCGGCCATGTGGGAATCCAGCGCTTTTAACCACCACGCCACCTACCGGGTTGATTCTTGTTTCTCCAGCAATTAGCACAGTGCCTGACACATGAAAGTGCAACATATAAACAGGACTTTAAAAAACTTGTGGAAAAATTGAATTAAAGTATGAATTTATTTTGGTACAAAAACTATAAATCTATTCATAGTTGTTTTTTTTTTTCTTTTCGTTTTTGTTTGTTTCATTGCTAGAGGATGTGCGTGCTCACTGGAGAGAGGCAGAGGGAGAGAGAGAAAAAAAGTGAAAACGTCATCTCTACAGAGGGTGGTCATTCTATAATCGCTTCTCGTCCATTTTTCCTATGAGGATTTTAAAGACACACATGCATGTAAGCATGCACACGTGCATGCACCAGCCTGGCCTGTTTTTCAAGGACCAGTCTGGTTCTCAAACCACACAGTCAGCCATGTGGGATTCAGCTGCTTTACCCATCCTGTCACCAGCTGGCCCAGTTTTTTCATAATACACATTTTCCATGAGCTTTTTGAGACCTCTTGTTTTGTTTTTGTTTTTCAAAGGACATGTGCACTTGCCAGAGATAAAGGGAGAGAGAAAGCATCCCTCAAAGGAACATGGTCATGCCATAATCCTTCTCCTCCATTTATCCCTCCTTTAGGAATTTAGGGCATTTTGCATATGCCAGGTGTGCTTTTCAAGCCATAAGGGTTAGGACTTTTACCTTCCAGTAAGCCATATGAGATCTGCTCCCCCAGCCACCATGCCACAGACTGTCCCCTCCTTGTATTTTTGAATGAATGAATATAACCTATTTTTATAGGATTGTAAAGACATAAGCTAGTTGGGTTTTGTTTGTTTGTTTTGCTAGAAGGCATGTTTGCTTGCCAGAAGGAGACAGAGAGAGATAGAAAGTAAGAAATCACCCCTGCCTCAGGACAGATGGCCATGCCACAATCCCTTCTCCTTCAGTCTCCTGTTGGGATCTTGGGCATGCACGCACACATCCTTGGTGTGACCCTCCAGCCCCTAGGTCCACTTCAATCACACAGTCAGCATATGGGATCCAGCGCCTCAACCTCCAGACTACCTGCTGGTCCAACATAAGCTATTTAATAGGGCAATTATGAAGATGACTCTTCACAGGTTAGAAATATTTAAAAGGAAATTTATGGTACAAAAAAAAAAATACAGCTGCTTAGTTTTCCTTCTTTGAGATACGTAGGACATATGGAATATTCCCTTGATGCTACATAAAAAAGGAAACTCATTCACAGCTCAATTCTTTTGGAGGTTAGGATAATCATTTCCACTTTCAGTAATAAGCCTAAAGGGAGATTTTCTGGTTATCCTACACTGATTTATAGATGGGAAAACCAGCTTCTTTAAATGGCACAGTATGTTCCCTGATGATAGGGAGAGAAGGAGCCTATTTTCCAATTGTCCTGCCACCTGGGTAGGCTTAGGGGATGAGCAGCTACTGCATGGGTGAGCGAGTGGCATTGTCATAGATGGGAAGAGCAGGAGAAATGTGGCATGAGAGTACCTTAAAACACTGCATTCAGGGGGCCAGTAAGTGGCGTAGAGATTAAGGTGTTGGATTCCCACATGGTTGATGACAGTTCGAGTCCTGGACCTGGCAGCTTGAAACTCATGCCGGGTATGTCCATGTGTGTGTGTGTGTGTGTGTGTGTGTGTGTGTGTGTCCAAAATCCTGAGAGGAAAACAGAGAAGAAGGGATTGTGATGTGGCCATCTCCCTAGGAGATGATTTCTTGCTTTCTACCTCTCTGTCTCTCCAGTGAGCACACATGCCCTATAGCAGAGATCTAAATAAATAAATAAATAAATCACTGCACTCAGGAAAGGCAGATTGAGTGAAGGGGAAATTTGAAAGAAAAGTCATTTAGGTAGGAGAGACCAATACATGAACAAGGAGTGGAGCAGAGGGTCTTGGTGGGGTGTAGGTGGGGTGCACTTTTTATCCCAGCCAGGATCAGGAAGGTTTTGGCTTTCCCTATTGCTTCCTTTTTTCTCCTGTATGCATGACCTGGAACCACATCTCTATTTGTATTAATATCACATCCCCTCTTTCCTTACCCATTCCCAACTTCTGAGGGTCTGGTAGATACCAGGACAGAAACAGAGCCTCACCCAGAGCTTGTCTTGGACATCGTTTGCTAAAGCATTTGAGTGCCAACCCTCTTCTTATTATCTTATCCTAATCAAATTTTATTTGAAAAAACAACTTGCATTCTTGAATGTAGACCACTACATAACTTGTTTATCTCCTGGAAGTCCCCTTTTAGACCAAGTGCAAGGTATATGATTTCATTAGTTGGAAACAATCCTTGAAATATCACTATGGGTTGGGGCCGGCAGGTGGGATAGTGGTTAAGGCGCTGGGCACTCCCACATGGCCGGCCATGGTTCGAGTCCCAGAGCTGGTGGCTTGCTTTCTCACTTTCCTTCTCTCTGTATGTCTGTTTTTCTCTGGTCAAATGAAACTAAATGAATGAATATATAAAATTAAATAAATAATTATTTAAAAACAAAAAAGAATTATCACCATGGGCAAGATCTGTTCTTGGCAATGCCTTGTTCAATTTCTAAAGCAGTGTGATTTGTTTCTGTGAGCCCACATATGGTTGGTTGTCCACACATTAACTCAAGTCTGGGGAAGATACCAGGCTTGACCTCTTTCTCACTACCAAGTCTTTATCACAGAAAGAGTCCAGGTGCTTGATCGATGTCAATTAATCAAATAACACACTATACTGAGCAAAGGGATCTATAACATATGAATGAATAGGAAAGCTATTAAATGGAAGCTTTGACTATGAAGAAAACAAAAACAAAAAACAACTTGCATTCTCTATAATGACAGTTAATGTGATTATTGTAGAAAAACTAAACAACAGGTTAAATAAAATGAAGCTAAATGAGGCTAGCCAGGTGGCTTGGTAGTTAAGGTGGCTGGATCCGACTTGGCTGAGTGAGCACTCTGAATCTTGGACCTGGCAGCTTAAAAAACACTCCAGCACGTGTGCATGTGTTCCCAAAATCCCTGGGAGAGAAGGGACTGTGATGTGATCATTTCCCCGGAACTGCTTTCTCACTTTGCCTGTCTCTCTCCTGCAAGTGCGCATACTCTATAGCAAATTTTAAAAAAAGAAGAAGAGAGAAAAAAAGAGAACACAAATGTCGTCCATAATCCAGACATAGCATTATTATTACTTTTTTTTTGGGGGGGGGAAGGTTTTTGCCATAGGGCGCGTGAACTCGCCAGAAAGACAGAGAGGGACAGAGAGACAGAAAGTGAGAAATCACCCCCCAGGGGGGTTGGCCACACCACAATCTCTTCTCTTCCATGCTCCTCTTTAGATCTTGGGCATGCACGCATATGAGCCCTGCATGAGTATAAGCCACTGGGTCCTGACTTGAACTGTGGTTGACTACATGGGAGTCAGCAACATACCCATTATGCCAACTGCTGGTCCCTAAACATAGCATTATTTACATTTAACAAAATGAATTAATACTATGAATATTCTTTGGTTT